GTTGGTAGATGGTAGCTGTGAGGGGTGTTGCTGGCCGATATTCCACTTGAGCTGTTGCTTTGGTTACAGAGTTATCCACTTTGCGGGCATCAGTGTACTCATCTGCCAGACGGGCAGCTTCAGGCATGGTGAAAGTTTTTCGGTCTCGGACCCACTCTCTGACTCCTAGGGACAACTTGTCAAAGAAGTGCTCCAGTAAGAAAACACTGCATACACTAACACAACACACACTGCATACACTAATACAACACACACACTGCATACACTAACACAAGACACACACTGCATACACTAATACAACACACACACTGCCTACACTAACACAAGACACACTGCATACACTAATACAACACACACACTGCATACACTAATACAAGACACATACTGCATACACTAACACAAGACACACACTGCATACACTAACAGAACACACACACTGCATACACTAACACAACACACTTCATACACTAATACAACACACACTCTGCATACACTAATACAACACACACACTGCATACACTAACACAGCACACACTCTGCATACACTAACACAGCACACACTCTGCATACACTAACACAACACACACACTGCATACACTAACAAAACACACACACTGCATACACTAATACAACACACACACACTGCATACACTAATACAATACACACACTGCATACACTAATACAACATACACTCTGCATACACTACACACTAACACACTCACTGCATCCACTACACTGACACACACTGTGCATTCGCTACACATTAACACACTATGCATTCACTACACTAACACACACTCTGCATCCTCTACACACTAACACACTCTCTGCATTCACTACACATTACACTAACACACACTCTGCATCCGCTACACACTAACAACTCTCTGCTTTCACTACACATTAACACATTCTGCATTCACTACACTAACACACACTCTGCATCCACTACACACTCTCTGCATTCACTACACATTAACACACACTCTGCATTCACTACACATTTACACACACTCTGCATTCACTGCACTAACACACACACTGCATTCATTACACTGACACACTCTGCATTCACTACACACTAACACACACTCTGCATTCACTAAACTT